CGCGCTGCGACAGCGCTTATACCGAAAAGCATGTGGATATCATGGCATGAGAAGGGTCGAGAAGACCAAAAACGAACTACAACTGGACAATGGAGAGCGAGGTGCTGCGTTCTGGTTCAACACCAAGGCACGAAAACAAAACCTTCGGTCATTCCCGAAATGTTGCGGCGCTCTCCTGCTCCTTTCTGAAAGTCACACACGTATCTCGCATGGTTCTCGAAGATGTATAAAGCCTTCTATTCTCCTTGTGGGAGTTGTCTCCTTCATTCCACAACTTCCTGTTTATTCTACCAAAATCAAGAGGCATAGAGCCCATGGAGAAGAGGCCTTCTCTTTTTTTAAAAAAAACTGTTAGCAAGTCCAAGCCATGATCTGCTGTCTAAAGGAACACGTAGATTTATGGACTCCAAAAACGAAATTCGACAAGGACTATGTCTGTCCCTGGCTCTCTGGTTGCTCTTTACCAAATCATGAATTGCAATGAGGCATGGAGAGTCTGCGGCTCTGAAAAGTCCGACGGAAAGTCATCATGTGCTGAGCTGGTCTCTCCTCTTAAAACGCTAAGCTGGGACATCATGCTGCGCGCTTCCTCCGCCTCGGTCTAAAAGTTATGGTCATGCTATGGAAATGACTTTCGCAGCGTATAAAGACGCCTTATCTAAGCTTCTGAGCTCCCCTCTCCTTCATTCCAACCCTTCCTCTATTTTCTCAAAATGGCTAAACGCTATCTCCGTGATCGAGGTGCTTTTCTCAAAAATTATATACCGCAGCACTGTCGCGAGTTGGTCTGAAAGAAACAGAGCGTGTGCTCATGTCGAAAACAAGCAGGAAGCATGTGCATGGCTGTCTCTGCCCTTTCCGCTGCCCTCTACAAAATGCTACACAAAACAACCTTATGGATTGGCTGCGAGTCTAAAAAAAACAATTTGCCCTAAGCGATCTAGCAGGAATTATGCTTCGGTCAAAATACTGCATCAACTCTGCACATGTTGCAGAATCCTTCTTCTCTTTGTTCAAAACTAGGAGTTAGGTCAAGATGATTCTTGCAGCATATAAAAGCCTCTTACTTCCCGCCGGCTCTCCTGCTTCCTTCTTACAACTATCACAGTTGCTATGTCGCCCAAAATCGCATCGACACTTTCGTATGTCTGCGGCTGGTGCTGCTTCCAAAAAGAACTATGGACCGCTCCATGTGAGAGATCGGCTTTCCCGAAAACGCATATCTGCACTTCCGATGTTCGGGAACGAGGAGTCGTCGCCTAGACATGCCATCATCATTGTCCTTTTGCTACTTCGAAAATCGCTTCCCTAGTTCACAATGAACTGTGCTGGTATTGTTCTAAAAAGGCGTCTCCCAAAGCCATGAGAGGAAGAACTGAATGTCGGTATCCATCAACGCATGTCGCGAAAGCACTTGGTAATCTTGTAATGAGCGAAGACTGTGTGTCTAGTCCACAATCAGGGTATAAAAACACGTTCTTCGCCTCTACCCTTTCTCTCTCTCACTATTACCTACCTGGTATTTTCCAAAAACATGATGTCGTCATCGTGTGAGACTCTGTTTCTCAAAACACTGCGACTACTTTGGCATGTGGAGAGATCCCATGCTTCCAAAAATACCCGTCCGCTTCCTCATGAGCCTTTTGCGTTCAAAAAAATCCCGCACTAGCCACCCATGTGTGGAGACGTCTGCTGATCTTCCGAAACACCATCACACGTCACTCCATGCAAGGATCTGGGGAAGAGGTTGAGATATAAAGTCTGCCTCTGCTTCCTCTCTTTCTCTCGCACAAATTTTCGCCCATCTCTCCAAAATGACATCGGCTTCAAGGCATGGAAGCCTCTTCCCCAAAAGTTCAAGCGAGCCTACTATGTGTGGAGATCCTCTGGTCGCCACGATATCACCGGAGTTTTGATGGGAGTTTTCTTTAGAAATAAGTGCGACCGCAGTCATGTGCGGAGAACTCGGGTGCATCTTCTTATAATGGAGGTTTCGAAGGATATGTCGAAATGAACGATGCTCAGGCTGAGATATAAAGACTACTTCGCCGGCCTTTCTCTTCCTTCCTTCAATACCAAGCCCTTTCCTCATTTCTTCAAAACGACCTAATCAGCACGCCATGAGCGTCTGTCTCCAAAGTTGACAACCATCGTTAGTATGAAAAGAGATTGTCTGGCCTCTAAAAACATCGGAGCAACTTGCCCATAGTCATCCACTGCGAAAAGTACCAAAGACAAGAACTTAGGTGGGAAGCTCGGAGCGTACATCATCCAACCCCTGAAAGAAGCCTGGTTTGTGATATAAAGTCTACATCCGTCTGCTCCCCTTTCTTCCTTTCTATTGTTCTTACATCCCAGCTTTCTTCTTCAAAATGACATTCATTCTCATCGATGAGAGTACCTTTTCCAAAGACTATACGCAAATATGCCATGGGTGAAGGACCTCTGTTCACTGTAAACAGCTATGTCTCTCTATCAAGGGTGCCTCCTTCCAAAAACAGGCAATCGGCTGGTACATATGTGCAGACTCCACTCCGCATTCCAAACACCAACGTTCGCGTCGCATGCTGGGATTGAACTGATCGTGGCACCGTGAAATGTTCGGTTTCCGCGCTGCGGTAAAAAACATTTGTGTGCATTGGCGCAACCTTCCAAAACATTACAGATACAGTTGATGTCACGAAAACGACTTGTCGGTTGAGTTGCCCAAGAGTTTGAAATGAAGCGACGGGTTGGACATGTGAGAGCGGTTCGCTACTTGGCAACATGTATAAATACCTCCCTTCTGACCCTCAGCTTCTTTCCTCATACATTCTTTACTTGTTTCTAAAACACCAAAACCTTTGAATTCAATCGTCATGACTGAGTCCAGTCTTCCAAAAGTGAGAATGAGAACCGCATGTTGCGGACTTCCGCTGCTGAAAGAACCTGAGGACATGGACATGTGATTTCTTCAAAACGTCGAAAACCTGGTACTTGACCAAAAAGACAATGAGACATAAACATTTGTGTGCCCTGGAGATAGTCGTCGAAATCGACTCAAAGATACTCGAACACGTTTAATGATCTCGAAAGCCGCGACATCTCGGAATACTGTCATTTTGAGACGCTGCAGCAATGAGAGCTTCAGTATCCACTATTCAGTACCGGAGCTTAGCTCTCGTCTTCCAAACCCATATGCGGAGGTCTTCATGTGCTGCTCTCGCGCAAGCATGCCGTACAATCGTTACCTGCGATGAACTTTTAATGGCATTTGCTCAATCTATGCGGGCCTCATTTAGCAAAAGCGCTCGCTTTTCGAACAGGTAACGGAAGCTCTCTAGCGCCGTTGTAATACCAGGACCACTTCGGCAGCCGTAAGAGCACCGCCGAATGTGAGAGCCATGACGTTGTTCTGTATCGAGGTGCTTTCTATGGCGATCAGTGTCAACTACGCCTCCGATACCTAATTGTAGCTATCATTGACTACTTTCTGTTTGACTGAAATCCCTGTGTGCTTGCTCGTGTACGCCAGGACGCAGTGGGACAATGTGCGTGAATCAGGCACTCGAAAACAGCATGTCAACGAGTAGGGGCGGCGAAAAGCGCTCAGGCTTATTGGTAGCCGGTCGATACATACCATTCGCATGTGGAAACCAACTTAAGGCCACCCGACACGCAGAAGTAAAACCAAGGCTAGGCGTGGGACTTCGACAAGTCATAGCCCGTTCCACCCATCCACCCATAACATCCAGTCCGACCTACTAGGCTATCAAAGCCTCTATCAACATGCCTTTTTTTGCCTCTAGCACTCGCTGTGAGACTTTACCAAGCTCTTTCCTCAAAGATGCTACTGAATCCACTTGTACGCCTTCCATCCAATGATCCAGATCCTGCGTCGATGCTTTCGAACTCTGGCTTCCAGCAGCTGCTTCTGCGAGTGCTGCATAGTTTGGAGATGGCCTGAAGGAGATATTCATCTCTTCATCAGTCGCTCTTTGGTTCAATCCGTCAGGATACACCAAGGCGGTTGAGTTTTTCGGAGCCTTGAAGCCTGTGGAGAATGTCAGCGCACGTATAGCAAGTGTTTAATAGCAGACCCACCACCATTGTTGAGTACGATCGTGAGGATGGGTATTTTGTATTTGGCACCGACCCACAACGCGCTCGAAGGTGCCGCACACATGAAGCTACCGTCTCCAACAATCTGGCAAATGAGCGTCGGCTTGTGCGCACTATTCGTAGTGACGTCCGCGTCGTCTGTGGCCATCTTGACACCCAGTGCTGCGCCATTACTCCAGCCAATACCAGTTGCACCGCAATTGATCCAACTGCCAGGTGTATCGGCCTGAATCTGATCAGAAAGAAGCTGCCCGCATGTCACAGCCTCAACCACGAATACCGTAGTATCCGGAAGAGTTTGCTTAAGAAGATGGCCGATGTTGCTCGCGTCAAGAGATTGCTCGTCGCCCAAGTGACATCGTGCCGCGATTTCAACGAGTTTCTTCTCATGGCTATCTGCAAGAACCCTTTTGCGTTCCAGGAGTGAAGGCTGTTGAAGCGTCTCACTTAAGGAAGATGTCGTGATGTGAGAAACAATTTGCTTCAATGCAGTATGACATTCAGCTCTCCACCGTCCATGCGCTGGGAAGAAAGAGACTGGAATGCGCTCGTTCAGAGGATCGATGTCGATCTGGTATATGCGCGTGCCTCTCGGTGGCGGATTTACTGATGGAATCCAAGGGACGTCGCAGTCGAGGAGTAAGATCATGTCAGTATCGCGTGTGCATTCATCGGTGCTAAGACGGAAGCCTTGCGAAGCCGGGTGTGAGAAAGGGAAGCAGAGGTCGCTGCCTCCAGTGTCATGCACTCGCAAGCCAGGGATGAGATCTGCGAGAGCGACCAGTTGTTCGGGGCAACGCCTATCTCTTCCTGAGTATCCTGTGATTATCAGTGGGCGCTTGCTCCCCACCAAGGCCTGTGCTACCTAAAGAGTAAACATATCACGTAAGTAAGATGTCTTATAAGCGCATAGATGTAGAACTTGCCTCTTCAACCGCATCAGCTGGCAGAGCACTGGGACCGACGGCTTTCCACTGTTCCTGATCCAACCGGTAAGGCTCCTCGATTACCTCCGCAAGTGTTTCTCGTGCGCTTGCAACATAGACTGGTCCTTTGGGTCCGCTGTTTGCAAACTGCAGCGCACGTGCAACGGTCTGCTTGACGTTGAGCCCTGTCCGGATCTCGCCAGTATATCTGCAATATTGGCGAACGATAGCTTTCTGGTCAGGCGCTTCCTGCAGCCAGTGCATATACTCTGTCCGCGACCCCGTCATCTCCCCAGCCTCAGTATAGGGACACAATCCGGCGAAGATGAACACAGGCGCCCGCCCGACGCTTGCATTGTGTAGGCCCTGTCCAAGCGCTTGCGTGCCCACGTCGACATGGACTACGACAGCTTGCGCCCGGCCGGAGACTCTCGCGTAGCCATCTGCCATGGATATAGCTGTTATCTCCGATGGACAGGTTATGAACCGGGGCCATTTGTCTGGCCGCTCTCTCTTGCCCTTGACGATGGCTTCGATGATGGACGGATGGTCTGAGCCCACATTGACGAAACAGACGGTGATGCCGGCCTAGAGCAACTGTTAGTGGTTATGATGTTTTCAAAGTCGCGTATGCGCATATGGCAGCAATGTGGACTCACCTCCCACAAAGCCTCGAAGAGCGCGAAAGCCGTGGTGTACCTGCAATGCTATCAGTGAAATACTTGAAATGTTACTCTTAGGTCGGCGAACGAAGATGTTGGTGGCGATGGACTAGAGGTGACGCTTGGAGGAAAATTGGGGTGGTATTGGCGAGAAGGAATGCTGGTTGTGGTAGTTGCCGGTCGCTCAGTTCGCAACGCGATTGCATGTATCGAGGGCCGGCGCGACGATATGCGTACAGCTGAGGGATGCAGATACGACGGGATGTTGGGCAATGTCGACAGGCGCCTACGCGGTGCAAAGAAGCTCGCGTGCTTGCTCGCGGCATCAAACACGTGTATGCGCATGGTGACGAGTCCGAAGGTGTGTTGTAGTTGTTCAGACACGTGGGGCAGGACACAGATCTGACCGTTGAGACATTACTACTGGGAGCTTAGCGTCAGCTTACTTCACTGCGTGGTCAGTGGGTTCTATCAGCGTTCTATCACAGAATTGCCATGATATATCTTGTCTGGTTGTTCAGCAGTACTCCTGCTTCCCTCGACGTTCAGGTCCACCTGATCGGCGTTCACCTATCGGACGCGTCGGGAAGTATCCCGAGGTTAGCTCCAGGGCTGCCGCTACCATCTAGCGCCGGGGCTGATACTCAGCCCCCGAGCTCAGGATCGCGACAATTCTTCTACTCTACCTAACAGCGTCTGCAAGTCAAATGATCCTTCGCTTCCAGGCACGGTCTTTTCCAGCTGGAGCAAGGGCAAGTGGCACTCAGTGGAAGTCGTAGGATGCTGGTGCCAGGCGCGAACGGTCGCGCGAAGTCAAAGACTAGGTAACCCATACTGACGGCAGGCGCAAGGCCCGAGGCGCGTGCGATGCGCATAGCTTGGCACTTTTATGAGTAAGCCAATAACAATATGCCGGCTGTGTCAACGCATGTAAGCACTTTCCGCTGACAGCTTGCAACAGGAACACAAGAGTTAAGCGGGTCCGCTCCGATTCTGCCAAGCTTGTCTGGTGCTATCACCAGCCTTGTTCCCTATTCACCGCCGACGCCCGTGACCGGAGTTGAAGATTACCACCACCACATCCACGATAAGCCGTACGACACGGAGAAGACTGGATTGAGATCACTGGACGGTCGCGCGACTGCCGTGCGAAAGACATGCAAGAGAAGAGCGATCAATAGTGAAGATGGGGATTGTGAACAGCAAAAGAGATGCCCAGCAACAATTGAAGAGTATAGCACATGGTCGGTGTGACGACAACACTGTGTTGCGGGAACTGCTTGAAAGCAACCATCTGAGACCGGACGAACGAGATGAAAAGGAACCAGGCCGAACCTTGCTATCATTCGCCACAAGCAATGCATCCGCAACGGTTGTAAAGACTTTCCTGGATAGCCGCAAGGTGGATCCAGATTCGCGTGATGCGAAAGGACGCACGCCTTTGTCGTATGCTGTGCATGGAGTGGACTATCGGGCCGAAGCAATTGTAAAGATGATTCTCGAGACCGACAGAGTAGATCCAGATTCTCGAGATAACAAAGGTCGAACGCCTCTGTCGTACGCTGCGGAAATGGGAGCCAACACGATCGTTGAAAAGCTTCTCTCAAGCAACAGGGTAGATCCCGACTCTCGAGATGACAACGGTCGAACGCCTCTGTCGTACGCTGCAGGCAAGGGATACAATACGATCGTGAGAACGTTGCTTGACAACGAAAGGGTTGACCCAGAGTCGAGAGATACAAGTGGCCGTACCCCGCTATTATGGGCTGCACGAGCAGAGACTCGAGATCTTACAATACCGCTGGGTTTGTTGCAAACTGGGAAGGTAAATCCTGCCTCTCGGGATGAGCAAGGCTACACAGCCCTTTGGTGGGCTATTGGAGGTGGATGCAAGGAACTCGTCACCTTGCTACTTGAAACAGGGCAAGTGGATGTAGAGGCAAAGGAAAAGTCGACCGGTCGATCTCCACTGTCCCATGCAGTACGAGTCGGAAGCGAATCAAGCGTGAAGGCGTTACTAGGCACCAATGATGTGAACGTGAATTCGAAAGATGATTGCGGTATCACGCCGCTCATGTGGGCAGTCGAGCGCGAGAATCTCCATATTGTGGACATACTACTCGGTGATGGAAGGCTTCTGGAGCGCTCTACGGATCACAGCGGTCTCGAGGTCGATGCTCGATATCTCGCGTACTGGCAAAACTCATGCAACCAAGACCATGGCAAGGACTGCGCATCATCACCGATCGAGCACCGACTGCCTCACCAGATTCCGGATTGGGTCATTGACACAGCGGAAGGCTGTCTAGTACCCGGTCGTACCGCATCAAGATACATAGCTCTGAGCTATGTGTGGGTCGCCCCAGATACGAGTACCGATGTATCCACAGCGGAGAGACTAATGCTAACACAGAAAAGTCTGACCCAGTTTCAAGAGCGGGGCTATCTACAAGGGGATGCACTCGCACGTCTTCCCTATGCAGTGAAAGACGCGATTGTTCTTGTGCAGAAGTACGGGGAAAGATACCTTTGGGTTGATTGCCTATGTATTGTGCAGGACGGTGACAAAACACGCGATCAGGTCGACAATATGGGTGAGGTATACGCTGGCGCATACCTAACTATAATTGCTGCTACCACTGCGGGACGCCTAAATACCCGCAAATCCACAAGATGTCGTAGCCTGGACTCTACTTCCCAACTTTATGAGAAGCTTTTCAAGACCAAGTGGGCCTCTCGTGGATGGACCTTCCAAGAACAAATGCTCTCCAAGAGAGTAATTATCTTCCTTGACGGAGAAGTATTCTGGGATTGCCAGAGATGCGTCTGGAATAGGGACTACCTCACCCCAAAATCTGCTCCGGATACTACATTGACCAGACCGTACTATGAGACCGCTCGGCGAATGTCTACCATGTCTCAGCCAGATCTCAACATGTACATCGAGATGATTAGCTTGTATAACAGTCGCGACCTGACTTACCCGCAAGACGCGCTACCGGCGATATCTGGAGTGTTAAGTACACTGAAGCGTACCTTCACTTCTGGTTTCATCAATGGCCTTCCCTGTACATTCCTAGATCTCGCACTATTATGGCAGCCCTACAGTATAGCGAGTCGTAGAGTGGCCAGGGATGGAGGTAGTATCGCACCAAGAAGAGGTCTACCATCATGGTCATGGTGCGGTTGGCAATGCCCAGTAGATCCCCACAACCTCCGTTCGAGGTTTGACTACTTGAAGGAAGACTCTTCCGGGAAACATACGACCAATCCTACTCCATCAACTTGGCAAACACACAGACTTGTGCAGTGGTATGCTTTGTCCGAAGATATGCAGCACACGTGGCGCGTTGACGAATTTGATTCTCTCATCATGCGCCCAGAATCTGCTCTCGATAAAAGTGCTATGTTCACTGGCACACAACGATCGTTTCATCAAAGCAAATACGAATCATGGAGAGAAGGCAAAAGTTCTGGACCTGTAGATACAAACACGGCCCCAAGCTCGCACCATTTGTCCGTATCTTCTTACCAAGCTTCACGTTCTGCGTTGCAACTTCGAAGAGACTGGCCATTCCTCTCATGCAAAACAAGTACGGCTTCACTCCGTCTCAAAGCTGTCCTCAAAAAAAGGAGCCCTGCTGGTATTGGTCCTTGCTGGATGGGTCCATCGGTATTCGAACTTCGTCAATTTGCTGGTGAGCCAGCAGACTCTGACATGTGTCATCTCATATGCCTTGAAGACAAAAGAGGGAACCAAGCAGGCGTACTGCGCCATATGAACCGTGATAGGGCTGAGCCCGGCGACGCGCTTGAGCTGATCGCTTTGTCGACCGGGACTATACGGTCGGAATACCTCCGGAACATTGGAGGTGATAGCGGGCCTTTGTTCAAACAGGAGATGACATCAAAGATTGATAAAAAATGCTCTTCTGAATATCTGGGTAAGTGGGATATAGTCTGAGGATATTGATGCAGCCTCCACAAGCAAAACTTAAGGAGTCCAGTGCTAAACGATCCCTAGAACTGATAAGCGAAGTGAAGAAATACGGGGTGCAAAGCACATCTGGCTGGGAATATCATTTCTACAATGTTCTTTGGATTGAACGTAAGGGCGAGATCGCGTATCGGAAAGCAGCTGGGCGTGTACCAAAAGTCGTCTGGGAGGCAAATTGCACGGAGCCCGTGAAAATCATTCTTGGCTGATACTTCGCAGGAGCGGCAAGCCACGCAGAACTACGTCAATGACTGGTCGTAATAGATACCAGACTCCAGTCGCCCCTGTATATGCGTGATTGTTTACACACTCAGGATGATACACAATGAGTCATTACGCGCTAATCGGCCAAGATCCGGTCGTGACCAAATATAAAAGCAAACGTTCAAGATCGAAAGGATCCAACAGGCATGTAGTCAATTCCAAAATCGACTAGTCCAACACTTGCGGCTTCCAAAGATGATAGCAGACATCCTCCACGACATCCGCATCTGGACCCTATTTGCCCTCCTCAGCGGCGTCTACATCTACATCCAGAACCACCGGCGCCGCCCATCCTTCCCCGTAATAAACACCCACGCAAATGATCTCCTCGGTCGAAAAGCCAACCAAGACTACGCCACCAATGCCTCCGCCCTAATAACCACCGGCCTCACCGCCCACCCTGCTAACCCCTTCGCCCTCGCCCTCCCCAACGCCTACAAAGTTATCCTCCCAGCTTCCCTATCCAACTTCGTCAAATCGAATCGAGACTTGGATCACAGGGAGTTGGTGTGTCAAGACTTCTACGCAGGGTATCCCGGTTTCGAAGCCCAGGATGTGTTGCACGCGTCTGGGGATATGTTGCTGGACATCATCAAGGCGAAACTAGGGCAGAATGACAGTATTATGCCTGTTCTGAGCGAAAGTTTGGATAGTGCATTGCGTGTGCACTGGGGTGAAGAGAGGGAGTGGCGCATGATGAACTGGCATGCTGATACAACAGTCATAATCGCGCGCGCTGCTTCGTCGGTGTTTGTTGGACCGGAGACGTGTGAGGACGAGGAGTGGTTGAAGCTTGTGCAGGAATACGTCTCAGCGTATTTCTCTGCGGTGGGCGAATTGCATGCGTATCCAGCATGGTCGCGACGCATTGTTCAGCGATTCTTCTCGCCCAATGCATCGGCATGTCGGAGACACATCTCCCGCGCGAGGCAAATCATGAGAGATGTCCTCGCGGATAGGCAACGCCGGGTTGAAGAAGCGAAGGCAGAGGGCAGAGATGTACCTGTTTGGAACGACGCACTTGCGTGGACGCAGGCTGCTCCAGGAGGCAAGGAAGCAGAGGCGGGCGATTTGCAACTGTCGC